GACATATTTCCTCTAAAATGATATCAGTCGTTTCAATGTAGTATAGAAAATTTTTACTCTCACATCAAAAATGCACCAGCTACAAACGTCTGAAATACATATTTCAAAATATATTTTTTCTATACAGAATTTTCTAAGGACTTCACATAAAATTCAGGTAATGATTATTGACGCGTCTTCATACAGGAGTGTTACAAAAAAATCAATGTCTCCAGCCTCTGGTGATAAAACTATATTTATGTTCTCCTCACAGATTCCAGTCCTAACATTCATTTCTGGCACAGCTTAAAACCAGCCAGGCATATAAAAGCTGTGTCACAATGTTGTGTGTTGCAATGCTTGATTACGCACCCGGAAATGGACCGCGTTTAATTCTTTACACTGTTCATTACAGCAGAACGGTAAAAGTCTAGGGGCCAGTGTGGGAGTGGTGACATTGATCCAAACAGCTAAATAACTTGGTGTACATTGTATAAGAGCTTACATGTATTAATAACTACAGGCATGAATCAGATGTGATCGTTGGATTTTGTTCAAATATTAAAAGTAACGAGTGTGGAGTCATTCCTTTTAACACCATTGTGCAACGAGACAGTAAATGTGTTGTCCCAGAACAACTGATTACTCCAGGAAACCTTGGCCCAAATATAGTACATATGTATAACAATTATACATACAGGCATACCTAGTGGTATTGATATAAGGAATCATAAATAAATCAAATCTAATGTTAGAGAAAATCAACACTTTGAAGTTACAACTTTTACAAAGGTAGATTTCAATAAATACCAAACTTCAAAGAAAAAAATTGTAATAACTAATGAAAGTTACAATCCATTTATCACAAATCTGGGTAGACATGCTTCTCTGGGGTTAACATCTGGCATTTTATTACGATGATCGATTGCCATCTCAAAACATGTACAACATATTTTTCTAGGCAAAGATTTAAAACCACAGAGCATTTAGATTTAAAATAGTCAAAGTATCCAAGAATATTATCATGTGTGAAATTCATTTAGGTCAATCCAGTCAAAAGAGGAAATACTCCATTGTTTCTTCCTTCTATATTGGACCAACATTCAAATTTATTTATCAAATATACAGGGGTACATGTCCAACAGAAATGATTCAATACACTATGATAACTAAGATAAAATCAGATGTTATTCTTTCATTAATTACCAGTCTTTATAATGGAACTTTTCTTACAATAACTTTTTTTTTTGCACAAAACTACACCTGTTTTACCTCTGTCCAAAATTAGACTGAAATAACTTATACCGATATGATTATCAAAAATCAACTTGATTATCTCCCTTGGTTGGTCAAGAGGTGCAGTGATACCACACCTGTCAATGAAGTGTCTAATTTCCATATCAGATGTGAAATAATCTGAGATTTCCTATAGACCAATTGGGTTTTCATCAGGTGCTGAATTTTCTCCCACAGTAGAGACTGACCAAACTAGGCCGTCAGGAATAAATAACCTACATTGACATCACTTACTTCTTAATTTTTGTAAAATGAATGAAGTGTATAGGTTAATTATCTCCCCTTACTAATAAATAACACAAATATTATTCTTTATTTTCTTTAAGTTTTTTTTTTAACCTTTTTATTTTTGTTAGGTGTTATGAAAGACAATTCATCAAAAAAGAATCACCTTACCGTTCCTATGTATTGTTGGATGTGAAAGATTGCCTACCACTTGTATAGCGTGTTCTGCTCCTCTTTTCCATTCAAATTCAACTGGTATTTAACTACTCAACCCCTAGGGAAATTTTGTTTATTTCAGCACTTAAGCACGTAAATACCGCCATGCCAATACATTAATAAACCTTCAGTAATGGGCCGTTTAATCACACACCACTACAACATTCTAATTGATTGTGTTTTCATTTCCATACATAATGGTACTTTCTAAAGAATTTTAACAAAAAAAATCTATATCAGACTTCAAATTAACTTACAGCACCATTAAAGGACATGGCGTGACCATGGGTGACATCACTAGTTTGTCATATAAACATAACACAGTAGAAAAACATTAACCATAATGGATGACTTAGCAAAAATAAAGGAAGTTTGAGGAAAAATTATGTATCTTCCCTATTAACCACAAGCCTCATTTACACATTATAATATATACATTTGATCTATATCAAAACATGTTATTTTCATTAATATTTCAAGGGAATGGATCAGAGACACTGTAACAAGCCTTCATCTCCTAAAACATTTTGATTATCATATTTTTATTCTTATAATATTCATTCTTCAGGAGCAGAAAAACACAAACTATGATATCAATGTCAAAAAGGATTTAATTAAGTTAAATATCAAATTATTTTCCATCCCTAAATATCTGTAACCTTTTGTTAAAAAACAGACTGAAATTTTATTAAAATCAAATGCTTCAATCTCATACTTAAATTCCTATTATCAATTCTTATTAAATTAAACCATTAATTCAACATCAAACACTTTTGTTAGTTCACTGATAAATCTAATGTATCTCACATTGTTTTCAAATACAAATATTTGTATAACAACCGTTTAATGTCAGACATTATTGAAAGTGTTAAGTGCAAGCACATGGTATCGAGAAACTTGGCATGGCTTCTCCCATACATAAATTATCTACTTCTTATAAAAACAACAAGACTTTTAACACTAATGTGTTATATCAATGAAGCTGAACTTAACAGATTTTAATTTCAGGCCCTTTTATTTCACATATAATTTGATACCTAACCCTTTAGCATGGTGGACCCATTTAAGACATATTCCTAAAGTGCCTTTAAAATCTTGGTGACACCTAAGTACCAGGTCAATACAAGTAGTGTTAGCTGTTCCCTGGTCGACTATTTGTGTGACAAAAATCCAGTCGTCTCTCAATTTGATCATGCAGCTCCCACTTAAATCATATTAAAGCTTTCCATAGGCAATTCATGAAGGTGTTAAAAAGGTCAAAATGATATATAGGCCTTCTTCATGGGGCTCTGTGAGGCTGAATGTAGGCTTCAGTCCCAATTCAATATATTTCATAATATGGTCAAATTCCCAATATATAGTTTAGTCCTTAAAATTTTTCTCCCCAAAACGAGATAACAGGCCCACTTCCAAATAAGTGAAAAATAGTTCTGATCTATCTTCTACTTACAAACAAATCTTAATTTCTCTATCAAAATTGGCTCTGAATGGTCTCCAGTAAGTACATGTGATTTTGTTACATCTATCTTGATCTGACTACACAATGCATTGTGTGACAGCTTCATTAGTAAAAATTTTACTAAAACACTGACTTGATAATGGAACTCCTAGTTAATTGGATTCTGGACTAAGTGGGCTGAAATGATTAAGCCAGACATAGTAGAGTTTTTTTCCCTTCAGCAGCATTCAACAGATCATCAGAAAGCCTGAACTTTAAAAAAAAGTCTGAATGAAATATTACTTCAGACAAGTAAAACTGAGTTGTCTCCCTTTATCATGAAGTACTTATTCTGGTTTCTAAAACTTTATATTATTTTTTATTTCTTTTTGATTTTGTAATTGACTCGACTAGTTGAAGTCATACTGTTCATGTGATCTGATAGAAACTTGTTAGATCATTCTGCGATAATACATATATATATAAATTCCAATTTTAATGAAGAGTTTACTAAAGTATACTGTGAATAATTAGGGAAATTTAAATATTTAAACTATTCTTTTGTTATTCATTTAAAGTTAAGAAAGTAAAAGTGGATTAAAATAAAAATGTTTGTTGTGAGAGGTTTTTTCAGACATGATATTTTTCTTGAACATTACACCACCAAATAATTCCATATTAAGTGTCTCTCAACTCATCCAATTTGATCAGGTCATCCTGACATATATATATATGTACATGTTATAAAACATCTATTTTCAAAACCTAATTGTGATTATATCACTGTGGAACTGATAAGAAAGTCTTTTTCATCGATGACCTATTTAAACACCCTGTCACCCTTGATTTGAAGGGTTATGATCTGGTATTAAATGACTAGAGGTTGACGATATATTTTTATCAATACTAGAGTTGTCCCCCCTCACACATCAGCATCTCTTTTCCTGCTTCCTTCTTCTTAACATACTCAAATGCTTTATTGGGAATTTTAGTGATTAGCATTATATTACTTATATTTATATATCATGTTAACAAGCCGTTCCCACTTTCAATAATCATCAAGTTGTCTTATCAGTACGTAAATCTATAGACAAAAGTAATACTTAATACCACCAGGCAGTAAAATATACAATCAATCAAACTCATAACGGCTCCCATGCACTAGAACCACAGTGTAAACCTGTTCAAAATTATTTATGTTACAATTTCAATTCGGCAGTGAGGGTGATTTATCTGCGTTCCTGAGAGGATGTATATCACCTGTGGCGTGACATGGAGTAATACTTGAGGCTTGTTCAACCGCAGCTTGTCAAGGTCGAGTGTAGTCTAAATCAATAGCTAGAAGACTTGGGTGCGAGCTTTATACACATCTGTTTCATTGATAATAACACCGGGGGTGTCTTACTCTCAAAAAGATATAGTGGGTATGTATTTATTAGCTAGTGATGCAATAATCACAAAATTGTTTTTCTATAAGGCCAAGCCAATGAAAATCTTCTAAAAACAGATAAGTAAGGAAAGATGTTTCAGGTACATAACAAAAGAAAATTTTATAGCTGGTACTGAAAACTTACCAAAAATGGCAGTATTATTGTAAGAAACAAACAGCTGTGTTTGATCTAGAAATCTCAAAAGATTTTTCAATGATATAAATCATATGTCTTTTAGGAAATTTTTAAATAAGGAGTTTTTAGCTATATTAAAATACCGGAAGAAATTATGTTTAGAATAGAGCCGATTCCCAAGCCAAACACATTGAAGGGGGAAAAACCTTAGAGCAGTATTACATAAAATGTCTTGCTGAATATGTATATATATATATTGGACACAATCGTTGGACACGAACCTTCCTCCAGAACGGCCATCATATCATCTACTGTCTCACACTCCATCACAAACAGGTTCTCCACATAGAAACCCTTGTTCTTGGACCAGCGTACCTGTAAGTTCCGCCTGCGGATTGGGTTGAGCAGGTCCACCACCTGTAAAAATAACATACATCTCACTAATAAAAGGAGTTATAACTGAAATCATTATAATTTTCTCAAACTTTTTAATCAGAGATGATTGCGGTATACACAAACATACATTAACTTTTCCACTTTCATCATTTTCATGCATTTCTATCTTACTGTTATCTGTTTAACAACAACCTGTCTATAGTGCCCAGTCTCAATTTCTTTAATTCTACATCTTTACTTTGTATAACAAGCACCTGACTATAATGACCAGCCTATGGTTCAATGAATTCTGTTTCATCTTTACCTTTGCATAACAATCACCTGTTTATAATGACGTGTCTATGACTCAATGAGTTGTTTCATCTTAACCTTTGTATAACAACCACCTGTCTATAATGATCAGGTATGACTCAGCTAACTACTCCTTGTCCATGTTGACCATTGTCCTAAATCTGTGTAAAACAATCCTGTCTATAAAGACCAGTCCTCAGCTGACTGTATATTCCCATACCTTTACTTTTTTATATAAACATTTCCTTGTCTATATCTTTAGAGTACAGCTCACTGTGTACATTACTTTATTTCACAGGCTACTCTGAATTCATAATACATTGTCATATTCCCACTCTCATCTAGTATAATTCTGTAGAAAGTCAACAACGGCTCAATCATTGTCCTGTGATAAGCCCATGACTTACTGAAGGAAATTCACAGAAAATTAATCATTAATATCTATATATAGGACTATGGACTCTGTTTATATATATGTTTGTTCAAGGAACTATTTTTAAAACAAGAAGCTTGTTAAAAGCATATTTTTCTACATATCAACCTGTTAAGAACAATTATATATTTATCAATGATGGCCTGACTAAGTTTACAAGGATTCCCACATCTTTTATCAATTTACCTGTAATGGTTACACATAATATAAAATGAAATTTATTTACACTATGCTGTAACATTTGTAGTATGAGGTGATAAAATTGGGTTACAATCTATGTGGGAGAGATAGTTCAATACCACGGTATGTAATATATATATCATGTGAGACCCCCCCTACAATGATTGGCACTTGGTACGTTACCTGAAACACATGCCACGGTAATCAATCTTATATATCTAGCTTTGCTCTTGTTGAGGCAGTAAATTATTATTTAGTCGACTTCTTCATATACTTGCAAAGCGATATTGGAATTATTTTAACACTTGCATGATTATAAATCAAACCAACGTAGAATCAATTGTAAATGAAAAATATGACTTGAATCTCTGATATACACATATCAAGCCAGTATTTTAAAAAACTGTTCACATTACACCTAAAGACTTCTCATGTAATTAAACCTAATTAAAACAGTCAATACTATGGAAAAAGTGGCTACACTATTCATCACCCAGGTAATCTTTCTTCACAAACCTGCATGAATTAATAATACCGCTTAACCTCATTATCTGAAACTGTTCATCTGTTACAGCCAAACTTTTCACATTTGATCTCACTAAAATCGGAAACTCAGATAATTCGAAGTTTTCCAACAGCCCACCAACCTCCAAATAATGAAGTGTGACTGTATTCAAATAGATAACCTGTACGTTAATCTGGTCAACTGCTGTGGTGGTGCAGGGTAATTTGTTTTTTCCACCAGGAGACTAAGGTTCAATTCCCTGAATGGAAACAAAAAGGTCAGGAGTCACATGCCTAACTTTGTGGGTTTTCAACAGATCCTCCAGATTCCTCCTCCAATAAGACACTTACATGTAATTTCTTTTAATCGAGTTAACAGTGATTAAATTTGTAACAGATGTCATGATCTATTTCAGTGCCTCTGCCCAGATTCCAACAAGTGACCACTGTCCAATGCCTAACCAATTCAGCTAAAGAGAAGTTTCTTTTTAGCAAAGGGGTCTATTGCAGCTAAAATTTACCATGTTTACGTATTGTAAATTTCAGCTTTTAGTTTCCATGGTTACAAACTGATTCAATCAAATAATTGCACAATATAATCAGCAATGGCTAGATTTTCACATCTGTATTTACTGTAAAGAAACTTCCTATTGCATGCGATTTACATGTTTACTTTTATGACTGAAGCAAAATCGCAAACATTCATTGACGTAAGTTATATTGGAACATCATTAATGAACTTCAAATTTCCATACCTAGCATTTGCTGCTTTATAATAATGACAATGTCTATATGTATTAGTACATTGGGCTACATGTGTCCAAAGTTGTACTAGTTTATGGGTAGGGCAATGTGCATGCTAACCTTTTGTCCTAGTAACATCCCATAAACACACCTTTCATGACCCAATTACTGACCGCAGATTCCTACATGTGTCAAAAGTTGTTCATGTCTATGAATAGTTCAATGTGTATGCTGATCTTTGTCCCAGAAACATCCCGTAAATTTACTTATCGTGGCCAAGTTACTGACCTCAGATTCCTACAGGTGTCAAAAGTTGTTCATGTTTATGGACAGTGCAATGTGTATGCTGATCTTTGTCCCAGAAACATCCCGTAAATTTACTTATCGTGGCCAAGTTACTGACCTCAGATTCCTACATGTGTCAAAAGTTGTTCATGTCTATGGACAGTGCAATATGTATGCTGATCTTTGTCCCAGAAACATCCCGTAAATTTACCTATCGTGGCCAAGTTACTGACCTCAGATTCCTACATGTGTCAAAAGTTGTTCATGTCTATGGACAGTGCAATGTGTATGCTGATCTTTGTCCCAGAAACATCCTGTAAATTTACCTATCATGGCCAAGTTACTGATGGGATATCCCTACAGAGCTTTTACAACTGTGGCTCAGAATTAGCGAAAGAAATCACAGCTTTAGAACTGAAATCATGATAGCAGCGAAAGGAAGTTGGTTTATACTCACTGAGAACTTGAAATATTAGCGGTTAATACATTATCAAGTAACAAATTAGTGTGATTAAAAGATGTGTGACCCACTTATCAAAAATAATATTGTTTGATTCCTTCATCTAGTAGTTATGTAACCTAAAGATCAAGTATTGTGTACCTAGTTATATATGTATATAAACATACAAATATCTACCCACACTTAATAAGTCCTTCATTCAAAATTCCAATAACAAGTGTTTACTATCTGTTCATAAATACTTCTGTGGGTCATTATGAACAAACCCAAAGGTATCATGCTTTTTTTCAGCAAGTTTACTCGAAGCACTTGTCTCTTATATACAAAAAGAACACAAACTTCACATGTATAACAAGTATTTATCAGGGGATTCTCGACCTGTGACACACAGCTTTAATATAAATTTGAGTGTATTCGTTTATAATTGTACACAAGGATAGTTGAATGACATAAGGTGGAAACACTGTCAAGGGAGGTCTGGTATGTAGGAGCTGACAAAAAGGTGAAGAAAAGAAGAATGTTGACACAAGATAAAAGTATTTAGTTAAACCTTTTTATCAATACCATTCTAAAACTCTAAATAACCCACTTCTTGTCATATTATACACACAGAACCAATAATGACACTATATAGTTAAGTCTGGGGTCAATGTATACAGCATACAGCCACAACAATACACATATATGTGCACAATCTATTGAAGAAAAGATTACCTTATCAACTCAAATAAAGAAATTCAAACCTCTTAATTAACAAATTAAAACATATACAGGTATATCTATGTGACTAACTCAGAAATTTGTATGTTTTTTAAAGAAATATTTGAAAATAATTTGTTGTGAGTTCAGTTTCAAAACTTTTAAATTAATGTTGAGTCTTCAAGGTATATCCTGTCTGCCATGATAAGTTTCTGTACATCTCCTGATGCTCTAAGCTGTATTAAATCTCTAAGTAATTATAGTAATCAGCAGTTTTGAGCTGTTCCCTTTTAACCAGTTTGTAAAAGTCTTATCCTCAAGAGATATTAACATACATCTAAATCACTGGTAATTAACACCATCAACATCATTTGTGCAAATATCAATTTAATTTTAAGTTTAAATTCACTGTAAAAAGTTATGTTGATAATTATCACTTCACCATATATTTTCGTGTCAATTCCAGGATGGCTTTAGGAAATATACTACTATCCATCAGAAATGGTTTTATCAATGGTACAAATACCATATCTAGTCCACAAATAACCCTATAATAAACTAAAATAATACATACTTGTTCATTTTAGATTTCAAGGTAGGTTTTATTTACCTGTATAGATATTGAGGTAGGTTTTATTTACCTGTTCATTATAGATCTCAAGGTAAGCTTTATTTACCTGTATAGATCTCAAGGTAAGCTTTATTTACCTGTATAGATCTCAAGGTAAGCTTTATTTACCTGTATAGATCTCAAGGTAAGCTTTATTTACCTGTATAGATCTCAAGGTAAGCTTTATTTACCTGTATAGATCTCAAGGTAAGCTTTATTTACCTGTATAGATCTCAAGGTAAGCTTTATTTACCTGTATAGATCTCAAGGTAAGCTTTATTTACCTGTATAGATATCAAGGTAAGCTTTATTTACCTGTATAGATCTCAAGGTCAGCTTTATTTACCTGTATAGATCTCAAGGTAAGCTTTATTTACCTGTATAGATCTCAAGGTAAGCTTTATTTACCTGTATAGATCTCAAGGTAAGCTTTATTTACCTGTATAGATCTCAAGGTAAGCTTTATTTACCTGTATAGATCTCAAGGTAAGCTTTATTTACCTGTATAGATCTCAAGGTAAGCTTTATTTACCTGTATAGATCTCAAGGTCAGCTTTATTTACCTGTATAGATCTCAAGGTAAGCTTTATTTACCTGTATAGATCTCAAGGTAAGCTTTATTTACCTGTATAGATCTTAAGGTAGATTTTAATTACCTGTTCATTATAGATCTTGAGGTAGGTTGTATTTACCTGTATAGATCTTGTGGTAGGTTGTATTTACCTGTATAGATCTTGTGGTAGGTTGTAATTACCTGTTCATTATAGATCTTGAGGTAGGTTGTAATTACCTGTATGTTATAGATCTTAAGGTAGATTGTAATTACCTGTTCATTATAGATCTTGAGGTAGGTTGTAATTACCTGTATGTTATAGATCTTGTGGTAGGTTGTATTTACCTGTATAGATCTTGTGGTAGGTTGTATTTACCTGTATAGATCTTGTGGTAGGTTGTAATTACCTGTTCATTATAGATCTTGAGGTAGGTTGTATTTACCTGTTCGTTATAGATCTTGAGGTAGGTTGTATTTACCTGTATAGATCTTGTGGTAGGTTGTATTTACCTGTTCATTATAGATCTTGAGGTAGGTTGTATTTACCTGTATAGATCTTGAGGTAGGTTGTATTTACCTGTATAGATCTTGTGGTAGGTTGTATTTACCTGTATAGATCTTGAGGTAGGTTGTATTTACCTGTATAGATCTTGAGGTAGGTTGTATTTACCTGTTCGTTATAGATCTTGAGGTAGGTTGTATTTACCTGTATAGATCTTGAGGTAGGTTGTATTTACCTGTATAGATCTTGAGGTAGGTTGTATTTACCTGTATAGATCTTGTGGTAGGTTATATTTACCTGTATAGATCTTAAGGTAGATTTTAATTACCTGTTCATTATAGATCTTGAGGTAGGTTGTATTTACCTGTATAGATCTTAAGGTAGATTGTAATTACCTGTTCATTATAGATCTTGAGGTAGGTTGTAATTACCTGTATGTTATAGATCTTAAGGTAGGTTGTAATTACCTGTTCATTATAGATCTTGTGGTAGGTTGTAATTACCTGTATGTTATAGATCTTAAGGTAGATTGTAATTACCTGTTCATTATAGATCTTGAGGTAGGTTGTATTTACCTGTATAGATCTTAAGGTAGATTGTAATTACCTGTTCATTATAGATCTTGAGGTAGGTTGTAATTACCTGTATGTTATAGATCTTAAGGTAGGTTGTAATTACCTGTTCATTATAGATCTTGTGGTAGGTTGTAATTACCTGTATGTTATAGATCTTAAGGTAGATTGTAATTACCTGTTCATTATAGATCTTGAGGTAGGTTGTAATTACCTGTTCATTATAGATCTTAAGGTAGGTTATATTTACCTGTTTGTTATAGATCTTGTGGTAGGTTGTATTTACCTGTATAGATCTTGAGGTAGGTTGTATTTACCTGTATAGATATTGAGGTAGGCTTTATTTACCTGTTCATTATAGATCTCGAGGTAGGATGCCCGAATGGTCTTGTTTCCTCCATTCTGTTGTAACATGTGAATTAGGTACTCAAATGAGCGCTGCATAATCCCCACCATGTCTTCCGGGGGATGCTTTCCTCCTTCAAACTGAAATCACAATTCAAAGCAATATTTTAGGACAATAAGTTAGACACCAATGTAATCACATATAATAAAATTTACCAAACAAAAAACAGATATTCCAGCTACACTGCAGTTATAATGTAAAAGCGTTTTGTTGAAGTGATATACTGTACAGTCTAATTAATGAAATGAGCTGATTATCAATGGAGGTTTGTTATTTATGACATTTTCTCCTGAAAACTAGTCATAATTAATAATGGTATACATATAAGGAATAGTTATGATGGTATTATCAAAATGTATATTTCCCAGTTGTGTGATGTGATTTTCATGACACAATATTCTTTTTAAGTTTATTAAGGTGTTAACCCTGAACCTAATGCACTTATCAACTTCCTTATTTAGGAAAGAAATTTCAAATATATCTTAAAGATATAATTCATCAATAAAATTTCTTAATTATTCACAATATAAATGTCATATATCAAAGCAGTGTACCAGAAATACACACAGCTCAGGATAACATTCTGATTTACTCACTTTACCTTTGAAATGATTTAATATAAAATTTGCTTTATTTCAGGATAAATTCTGACCCAACATGAACTTTGAACTTTACTCAGATGACTTTTGAGGTGGTTCAAGAAAATATTAATTTTGCTTTATTTCAGGAAATCTCTGCCTCAGTCTGGGGGCAATTTGTCACAGCATCCATGGAATCTCAAATGCTGCAACTAATTTGTTACCTTGAAAAAGAGGCTTAAACTAGCAGTTTTCTATTTCAACATATGAATGTTAAAATGTGAAAATGTGAAAAAATGTAAAAATGTGAACACAAATGATAAACAACAAGGTACAAGGGTTACGTTAATGGCATTAAATTCATGAGTAAACATACACATACATAAGTACTATATATTATTTTGTTACATACTAGAATCTTGTTCAGGAGAATAACAATAGATATTAACTGGTAACAGAACTGATCTATTACACCAGTGAAATTACTCAGAACTCAGTGCATGTGTACTAAAGTACTAAATATTATGATATATTCACCCAAACTTCTGTTCATTTTAACAAACATTTGCCTATAGCATCACTTACATGTGTTATATAACTATCATTTTTTTATTCTCCTTCAGTTAAATTTTCTTTAGTTCACTTCTTTTCCTAAGATTCAATTCTTCCTATGTCAATGATATTTTTCCTCAAACTGAACATGATTCTCTTAATTTATTGTACTGTATGAGTTACATATCCAAATACTGTAACCTAACTATTCTTATATAATGTAGTTATTTCATGGTTATTTCCTGAAATATTAAGACTATAGTCTCTACCTTATTGTTTCAGCTGTATTTCAAGGAAATAAGTAATTGTGGCTTTAGGATTTATGTAAATTTATCACATAATGTACAAACTTTATGAAAACATGTGCTTACACAATCAACTTTACATAAGCAGGAAAAGACTAATTTTAATCTTATCAAACATCACAACTGCAGGATGACATGCAAAATAACATCAACGGCTACAAAAAAAAAATAATAAAACAAAAATTGACAGATTACTGATTATAATCACATTATTGACTGGATACGTGCCTGATTTAGTCAACTTTTGAGACTGCAGGTCTCAAGTGAATCCGTCTATTTACCAACCTATTTGCATCGCATAAAGTGATGATACATCTGTAAATGTGTATCTGTATTACTGATATTTAGCAAATTTACACATCAGTACTATTTCATCACCTGTATGTAAATAAACACACTCCTGACTGAGTAGGAATCAATATCCTTGGACTCCTGGCTTATTTAGTAAGAATCAACATGCTTGGACTCCTGACTTATTTAGTAAGAATCAATATGCTTGGAACAATGGACTTATTTAGTGAAGATCAACATGCTTGGACCCCTGGGCTTATTTAGTGAATATCAACCTGCTTGGACTCCTGTGCTTATTTAGTAAGAATCAATGTGATTGGCTCCCTGGGCTTATTTAGTAAGAATCAATGTGATTGGCTCCCCGGGCTTATTTAGTAAGAATAAATGGGATTTGCTCCCTGGGCTTATTTAGTAAGAATCAATGTGATTGGCTCCCTGTGCTTATTTAGTAAGAATCAATGTGATTGGCTCCCCGGGCTTATTTAGTAAGAATCAATGTGATTGACTCCCTAGGCTTATTTAGTAAGAATCAATTGGATTTGCTCCCTGAGCTTATTTAGTAAGAATCAATGTGATTGGACTCCAGGGCTTATTTAAGGAACACACTTTCCTATCCATGTAAAATCTAGTGTTAATTTAATCAAGTTCATGCAAAGTGAATGTGAGCAAAAATTGCAAAACAAACGGGCAACTTAATTCATGCTGCGACAAAAATAATACGTTCACGTGGGGCGGGAGTGCAACAACATGTTCAATACAAACAATATAACACAGAACAAGTGAATTCAAGAACCTGCATGCCATTCTGATAAAATGTTTAGGTCTGGGTGCAACATCAATATCAACTTATTTGGAAAATATATGTAAGGTTATCAACGATATGCAGGTGTTACATACATGGGTCTCTGAACAATTTGGCAATACATTTAAAAGTACCAACCTCATCATAATACTGAAAGTTAAAGAAAAAAATTATTTAATGGTAGGAAGATGTAAGTACTGCAAAACATACTCGGTATAACACCTAACAACTCATTGGTTAATGAAAATAGACCCTAAAATGAAATTAAATGATAGTTAACTAAAAAGGAAAAAAAAGATTAATGGCACCACTTAAATCCTGTAAACAGGTGGGAATATATTTGTTTATGATGAAGCACCTAAAGCTTTCTAGCACTTTTCATATATATTTGATAATTTCAAATTGACGATAAGGATGACTAGACAACATCAGAAAACATCAGTGAAAATTTATTTGCTGACATGTTTCACCATAATAGGTTCTGAAGACCTACACTGAAACTTGTGCACAAGTAAATTCTGCTGGTATCTTTCTCGACAGAAAGAATCAATCTATGGAACCAGAGGATAACCACAATGTTAGAAACATTTAATCTGATGGAGGATATCATTTTTTGGTATCAATTATCCCAATTGATCCGTATCACTTTCAGTATATATAAAATTATCTCTGAAAATTATAGATTCTTTACAGTGCATTATCTTTCTACATGATTCAGCACTGTCTCGAAGAAAAATACCATTTATATTAACAAAGTATTGACTAATTCTATATCAGATGGTGAAAGTATAGCAAAAACCTCAACATTCTGATGAATCAAGAGTGATGCAACAATAAAAGAAAAAATATTTTAGGAGATATGGCAGTACGGTGGGAAGTATTGTCTTTCAACATACAATATACAAATACATGTATCTGAATATGAAAATTTCCATTTTTGCCCCAAAAAATGTTAGTGACTGCAAGCAAGACGTCAAACTCTGTATTAGACAATGAAGACCGGACACTGACTTGTGATCCAATGAAGTGTACAGGTTAATAATAAAATCACATCTGTGTAGTAATGTTTTGTCATGTCACCTCACTCAAACTCAACACAAATCATAAATGGATGTAAAGAATTTCAAATAAACTATTTATCTTTATGTCAATTGCCAAGTTATCTTTACTTAGACACTATTAGCAATATAACATTTCTTATCAACTTGATTGGAAAGTGTATTATCTATATCCAACCCAGTGTGTTAGCCTTAAATGACTTATTGTAATTTCAATGTTTTTTAATTGCCTGTGTACTCAGTACTTCACCTTTAGTACCAAACAGAATGTACATACCACATATAATCATTAAGTAATGTAACGCCGTCAATACTACCACTAACAAGCCAAGTACTTTTAATCTCTTTGAAAAAACATCTATCAAATACGTTACAAGAAGATATCAACACTACGTGAGGGATTACAACTGGTAGCTGACAAAGAGTTCAATAAAAATTACAAATGGTGAAACTGATGCTATGTTGAAGATTCCATGACAATATGGTACTAACAGAGAGGTGTTTTCTACAAGAAGACAACACTCTAATCTACCTATATTGTAGAGTAAAGAGAAGCTATGCCTAATACAAAACACTCATCCAGGATTTCTGTTTTTTATTTCAAAGTTTCAAAGCCTTGTATCATAAAAACTTTCTAAATCCCTGCTCATATTTTACAATAGTTACATTCATGGCAATTTGTGTTTCAAAGGCTTAAAATACATGTGCTGTTATGGGTCGTTTGTTGGCAAATTTAACACTTTATCCTAATTGCTCTGGCTTCCCATCTGTTGTGAGGTAGACACCAGTCACAAGGAGACTCTGCCTCAAATTGACCCTGGCTGTAAACCACACAACAATAATTACAATAATGACACAAACCAATCTTACAAACTCACCCCAAACTTGTATCATTAATTGTGACTATCAGGCCATTGTATTTAAAGAACATATCATTCATTTTCTTTCTTTCACCTGGTAGAAATAGTTCTGATATAATGGACTATGATTTCAAAATTGTGAACAACTGGAATCTAGTTTATTTTCATCCACAAATGACCTTGAAAATGTGTCGATTTGACCTTGAGAAATGCTCTACGCCTCTGTGGATACCTGTAACAACTATATGTTCCCTGATACTAACCTGTTGTGGCGGACCTGTCATTGTGTGAGTTTTACCAGAACCTGTCTGTCCAAAGGCAAGAGCTGTGCATGCATATCTGAAAGAATAGAAGTTTTAAATATTATTCGAAAAAACTATTTGAAAGAACAGGAAAATCGTATTTTTGCCAATTCTGAAAGAACCTGAACTTAGCTAGACATCTGGGGTGATAACTCCAACTGCACTCTTACATCTGAGCCAAATTAAAGTTGGATATTCCGTAAGTCAAATGACAGGGCTGCATTCATTTTAAGCTATGTGCAAGTCACAATAATTAACCAATAACTTGTGTTTGCAAAATATCCATTTTTTATGGTTTTTCTGAAATTTGTTTAAACAGTTGCATCTAAACTGAAATACATGTATTTAGTAATCCATTTGATAGTTGACCTCAGCTGGTGACCATCTACCTACAGCAGATTTTAATTCTACCGCGTGTAGCTTAATTGGCTGAGTGCAGGGGTCATGGGTTCAATAACAGACAGAGGCACACTACTCCTTTTCTGTTACATATCTCAATTAAATATTCAATGATAGAATAAAATCTACTCATCCTTTGGAATAGTTAATGTCACATGGTGACCATCTATATATTTCTACAGTAGGTGGTACTTTCATTTTATGGAAATAAAGAGGGTGGTCCTATTTACCAATAGTAAATGGTCAAACCATATCCCATTAGTCCTCAAAGTATTGTTCCCACTGTTGTTTACAAAAAAATTGAGTTCCCTTCACCCCAATAGACTTCAAACCAAATTTCGACAAATTCTGTGCATATAGAAAAAGAATTTTAAATAATAAGCTATCTTTCAACTATTGACCCCAGTCAGTGAGGCCCTTAGGGTTGAAGATCCACTGTTTATAGTATATACGTTTCCACTTCCCAAGGATGCATCTGATGAAATTTGGTAAAAGACTTTCTTAGCCGTTTGAAACTAGTAGTGATTCACAGGTAAGCTAATCAATAGACAATAGACAATGGACTGATGGACGATGAATACCATGACAAGCCACTAAAGCTTATTCAGTTCTTCGAGCCACTGGTGAGCTGAAGATATACTTAAATGCTCTTTAATCCTACGTCAACAAATCTCAGCAAGTTAAAAGAAATGTTTACCCATTCAAAGACATGTCTACAAGTTTTTTCATCCCAGAGTGTTCAAACAGGTCCTGCTGCGTGGCTTCCGGCTCAAACACCACATTGAACCCAAACGACCGCACTGACGTGTTTGCATCACACTGTGTCAAAACCAAAAAAAAAACACATCTAAACAAACACATAAAGTCAAAATCAACATATGGACCATTGGGAGTGTGTTGGAGAAACATGAATGCCCCAGGTAGCTGGCAACTAAACAGAAGTATGGAAGCTTTTAGTAGTGTAGGATTTAAGATGTATTTTTAAAATTCCCAATGGTGTTAGACAAGGCTGTCCAATCTTAAATTTAGATTGCCATAAACCCCCCTACTATAACCAAATCATATTTTCATTACTACATACCGGTACTAAACTGTGTCTGTAACCTATCCACTTCATGCCTACTGGCACATAATTACCTATTTCTGCTAAGGAATAAATGAGCTTATACCCTTGATTTTAAACCAAAAATCAAATCTAAATTGTATTCACTAAAGATGCTATTTTCAAAACTTCGAAAATCAGTTTAATCTTTAAAATGAATTTCTTGTTTCGATTTTGGAGTTCATATTTATTCAAACCGTAATCAGTTGATGTCTTAGACTTGACCTTGCTAAATGAATGACCTTACTTTCAGGTAAAATATTGACCTATGCATTATTGTAATGTAAACTGAAGATTACCTAAGATGGAAACATCAGTAATCATCAAGATTTCAACCAAAGTTCTTCACTACTCCCCTAACACCATAACATGGCAAGAACGCAGGTCTCCTTATAACCAAAACTGTCTTGATTCTACAAAGTTTGAAAACCTTACCTCAATTCTACCAGCACCAGGAAAGGACGCCACAAATGCATCTTTTCTCATAATTTCTTGATTATTGAGTGGTCGAACTCTGAAGCAGAAAGTATTAAATTACAATATTTGGATAGTAAATTACAACATTTGGATAGAAGTTTAGATACTATACAATTAAACATATCATACAGTGTATACAACAAAGAGGCCTAAAAAGCCTGCACCACGCAGTGTTGTTTTATATCTGATTAAACAATTTTGAAAAAAAAAAGTCCTGATGTCAGACGACAGACTGCTGGCTGAAGGACAGAGAGTGCACCTTGGCATAAGCTCACTAAGCCTCTCATCTGGGTGAAGTAAGTTTAGAAAGTGCATCTTGTGATCTTAGAATAATATTTCAGCTAATCAATCACAATAAGTAAATAAAACCTTTTATAGGAAATCATAAATGATTTCGCTAAATTAAACCCTTAAGCTTTTGAATGTTTAAACATGTTTTCTTAAGTGACATTTTTGACATACTATAAAGGAAGGGGTTTTATGTGTGTTTTTTACCGCCTTTAGAGAATGCTGAGAGGAAAATCTCTTCTGGAAGACTCTAGTCCCACGCTTTACTGTAATCCTTACATAGCATATCTGAGATTTTACAAACAGCGATATTAGCTCAGAATATAAATCTGTACCTGATATCCTTTTAAAATTATCCTACATCAAAAATTTACGATATTTATTAAAGTATGGGGTTTGTACGGAACATTTCCGACATTTCATATAATCCAAAGCATTCCCCGAAGTCCCTTTCTACATTTCAATGCATCTGTTTCCTTGTATCTTGAAAAGGAATTATCACTGTAGTACAAGAGTTATTTCCCTTCTTTGAATCTTTGTTGTGTGGTGGAATTGAAAAAAAATTAAAATCTGGCAAAAGACTTAATATTTTGGAGGTAAAGGGTAGTGTAATAGTGTTGTATTTGTCTAAAATATCAAATCTTTCAACTTCTTCTAGCATGTTCATATAAAATAAGTACTTTTATGAGATTAGACATTAAAGTTTCAACTACATATCTATTCAAATGTCGCCTTAAAGAATTTACACTTGATTATGTTACTTGATCGTTTTCCTTAATTATTCCTAAATGATTGAAATCTATATTTATAGAAGCAACCTCCTAAAATTGAATACATATAAAGAAGATATTATGATTTTAAGATCGTTAAATGACAATTACCAGTAGTTTGCGTAATTGTTTGAAGAATTTCTTCTTTGATATGTCTAGAATCACCTTCATTTAAAAAGAGTAATCCTTATTGCAATAACTTCTGTAGTGAAATGGGTCTTCCTTGCAGTATACCACTACAGTATGCTGAAGTTCTGTTTGGGCAACTTGTCTTGTAAATACAGAAATGCTCTTGGGCAGATCGACCAATGCTTGACGCTAGTGCAACTTCCATTGTTATTGAATCTGCTGTTCAGGGCATCAGTGAACACACAGGCTTTTATAGCTCCGCTCACTGCTGTACTTACAGACCACTTTAGTCTGTTTTAGATTATGTACAACACTACTATTGTCCAGAAGGACAAAACAATTGTATGATGCAGTTTTAATTCTCATTTGACATGAAGCCTTATATATTACTAAATTTAAATTTTGACTGTAAATTTTGGGAGGAAGTTGACGATGAATGGACGGATAGATGTACAGGTTATTTAGTGTATAGCTACTTTTTAACAGTCAGGGTCATTTATGGATGTGTCAGGTATGGGTCAAGGAGGAAAGCCAGAGCTCCAAGAGTTTAAAAAAAACTCCTGTATGTACCTGCGGCCAGTACCTGGTGACTGCCTCATGTTGGACTCGAACCCATGGCCAAGAGAAGGATGGCTAGTGATATAGACAGTCAGACCTAAACTACTTAGCCAACACAGCCCTGTGGACAATGTCATATCGTTGTGTATCCTTTAACTTTGACAGGCTTATAATCACAAGAAAATGTGTGTACTTTAAAAGTCTTCTGAATATACCTATGATCTATATACTGATAATGTGTAATAGCAATTTTAAAATTCCAAATCAAAGGGATCACCGTCCTGCTAATGTATCTTTCGTGAAGAATTTGTCGCTGATGGTAAAAGCTCTAACATAATCCTGTATACATGCATTTGTTTATCTAGAGTGGAGCTGAGAATTTAATCTCAGGGTTTAAAGAGTTACACCATCATGGCTATTCTACAGTCACAGAACTATTTGTTATCAAAAATGTAAACTTATAGGGTTAATGGTGGGTCAAATCTAAAGAGGTTTTGAAAAATAAAATACTTGCCAGACACATATTGTGGTTACATATATGGCCGATGGCCAGGTAGATTTATAAAATCTGAATTAAAAAATCATGAATGTTTGCATTAGTGTTGTCACACACTGACAAATATTCTCACCAGATTTTCCTCGTACGCAAAAATCCGAATTTTAATTTACGTTTTTTAAAAAGTTTGCAACGTGCATAATTCATGATATATCTACATGTTTTTTGACTCGATTATAAAGGAACTAACATCTAACAGACTTATTGCAGTATAATTTGAAGCATGTCTTTGAATTTTGATTCAACTGTAATACATTTTGATGGGACCATTGCTGAAAACTTTGATATAAGCTTATTGCATTTATCTTTTATATAAATATAAACTTTATTCATTTCATAATTGCGAAACAATCATTTCAACTTATACCTGTCACTCTTGTTGGCCCGGATTAAGTGCGTGAGGGGGCTGATTGTGGGAGGAAGCGGGAGTGCCCAGTGAAAACCAACATGGTCAGGCACGTGACCCCTTACCTTTGCACTTCAGTTCTGGGAATCGAACCCCGAACAGCTAGGTGAAAGGCTACATGCAGTAAATATAAAGTAAGCTAAACTTCTTGTTCTGACATAGTAGTGTTAATGCTTAAAGTAAAAATATATGGAATAAAACCATACAAATATCTATAGTCTAAGTTTAGTTTACTGTTGTCATATTAGTGGCCAGGGTCATTAAAGATGTGCAAAGTTTGGGTCATGGAGGACAGTTTTCTGTGTAGGCCTCAAACTCGAAACCCAGTGGTCGAGGGCAAGCGGTAAAGGTCAGGGGCTTTGACCAATCGGCCACCATGGCCTCTTATAAGTCTGAGTTATACAAAATTATAACAGAATATCATATTACCGAATTCATCCTGTTATCAATGGTAATATTTCAAAGCCCAGGGCGACAACATCTAACTTAACACTTTGATTACAGAGATGGGCTTATTATCTACATTTCTACAGAAATTGATAATTTATGGGGATGGGCTTATTACCAGACATGGGTTTTAAATTGATAAGTATGAAATATCATACAAAATAAACAACAATGATTGATAATCCTGTAATTATTTTAGGTACCTCAATCATATCACTGTAACATCCATGTGAAATTACATACACATATATATATATATATCAACAATCCAATCCTGATTACTAACAGACTTTATTTGAATGGAACAAGAATCTCGTGACTAGATATTTGAGTTTGACAACCTCTGGCTAGGAGCCATTTATTAGAAGAGCTAGAACACTGACTTGGGTATCAAATGTGAGATCAATGGATCATGATCAGACATTCAATGTTCAGTTTATGGTACCTCCTAGTGTTATATAGAAATAGAACTGATTTTTTTTTAAATGACAGTCGGAGATAAATTTTTAATGAAGTATTTTTCTGGTTTAACATTCAATCCATAACAGTTTAAGTTTCAAATTTAAAATTTGTAAACAATATCCTGTACCATGTGATTTAAAATATCAAGTGAAATCAGCTGTCCTTTTTATCTTGGATATGCAGATAAAGTAGAACTTTCTGATGAAATCTTAATGCTTGCAATTAAAAAGCTACAGTGCAATTATTTCAACTCATGTACAAGGTTAAAAGTTTTTTTTAAAAATACAAAAGATAAAACACTGAAATGTGGACATGAAAGAATATTAAGTCTTAATTTAGAATGAATAGTTCCTTCAATTCGTAATTTTCATTAACTCCGGTAAGCAGGTATGTCTTTAATCTGTGAGAATAATGTTATGAGAAAAAACATAATCTTCTCATACAAACGTATGACATAATGAGTCTGCTGACAAGAATAGAGAAGACTGTATTAGGAAAAGATAGCGTTATGAAGATGGTTGGTTGTTTTTACTTCATGTAACTTCTTATCAACAGATATAGACATTTAAGGATGGTTATCCAATGTATGTCTGGAAGTTGAGAGTGTGTGGTTGGCGTGCATGTATTTGTCAAAGGATGCAATATATGTTTTGTTTGTGTAAACCTGCTTGTGAAAGTGTGGAATTGAAACCAATTCTAACATGACATCATACTTAAGTACATAGTCAGAGACCAACTGGTCACATGACACTGACAATAGACAAAACCAGTTATACTTCCATAATGCAGGATACAAAAAATTCTCAAGTACCTTTTTTATAGACTCTGGTATTTTTCGGCCAAGGGTCAGCCCAAAGCCTTCCTCATTTACATAGGTAAATAGTCAACTATGTGTAAAGGGCACCATTGAGACTGTCACTGAGAGACCTATATATACCTTACCAAAATATCTTTTTACAGATGCTTTCTTTCTTAATCAAATTTTACATGTATCCAAAATCAAAAACACATTTTAAGGAAATTATTTGCTTAGCCTTGGTGTATCATGAAACAGTGCTATATTGACAAACGATCCAATATCTCTTAAAAAGTGCAGACGCAGACTTCCTCTTGATAATTTAGAGCTCTGTCAGGCAATGTATAACAACGAAATGCATTGATAAATTTTACACAAAACAGAATTGTCACATGTGAGCAGCCCCCGGACTTAACCATTCAGATCTACACAAGGTAAACAAAGACCCTGTTTCTACACAAAATAGTAAATACATATCCAGTCGCTTTGCGGAAGTGTAAATGATCTCACAAACTTTATTCATTATTCATGAAGAGAATTAAACTGAATAGTCCTTTGATAATAAATGTTTCTAAAAGCTGAACAAGTGATTAATTTGTAGTGTATTTTGACTTGGAAACACATGCTTTGAATTGATACCAAATTAAAAACTATATTTCATATACAGTAAATTTTTATACAAAAATCAAGCAGAGTCAGAAACTTAGATTTAAAACAGTATTTTTCTGTCGGTGTTTCCTTTATCACGAAATAAGAATTTTTTTCTTACAGTTTTCAATTTACGTGTAATTGCATACACATATATAAAAGAATTTGGATTCTGTTGTCATAATTCGTTTTTTTGCTTCTGACACGCATCCAAAGCAAAACAAACCATATAGAACAACATGAACAATGTATTACAAGGCATTTTGATTTCCTGTTTTGTTGATGAGAAAAAGTTTGGGTTGAAGAAGTCAGCGTGCAAAGTTGAGTTAAGGACCTTAATATAGACTACTCTGAAGCTATTTTTGTATTGTACTTGTAAACTTACTAAGATTCAATACATTTACGCTATTAGGTTTGACAGTAGTGTATTTAGTAAGTGTATTAAACAAACTCCTGTACCCCAGATAGGTCTTTTTCAAACATAATGTACCATAAAAGACTGAACTGATATGTAAGGCTATATGCTTATCAATATCAGAGATCAATAATTCATTCCTGTATTCATTTTCACAGGAAATTTAATTATTTCAAAGATGATACAAAAGACACAGAATTGAATATCACCTTTCAATGCAAATTAATGAATTAAACTACATCACACAGCTGTTTCATCCTTCTAGGACTTGTTATGCGGTGCGATGCTGAGGAGAAATGGCGTAAATTTTGAAACTTTGGAGATAATGAAGGTAATCAACACTGATTGAAAGAAATGTCAGAATCTAGGTGTGGAGTGCACTAACCCTTTAAATCATCTAATTTTCATATACCTGGTTATTTCAGAAAAGCATTTAATAAATGTGAATATTCTGAGTGCCTGTCAATTCAAAAAAATGAAAATGTGGCTAATTAGGAATTACAGAAACCCATTTTACAATTCTTTTCAAATTGTTCATACATGTCACACAATGATATGGTTGTAAATCAATTTCAAAGAGCCTGCTCTTTGCATTACAAACAAATTTAAGTTACCTTTAAGATCTATTCCAGAGAAACATTTACCCTATTGGGAAACTTGTAATTTTGCCAAGAATGAGAATTTTTTTTTTTTTTTTTAAACTGTTTGAGAATTATCAAATTTTCTTTTAAAGAGATTTATTAAATTCTTTTTTTTTGAGAATTATTTAACTTTCTTTTTGGGGTCCAAATGACGGAGAAAACATTACTGAAATTACTTTGAATTGATAAGTAATGTGTGAACATTAAATTTATTTTTGATACTAACCTCAGAACCACATTGATGTGCTCATCTACATCATCACCTTCTAATCCTGTGGCTGATGACAGAGTCGTAGAGCTCCTGAAAGACATGGAAGAGACAGCCATTTTACTACATACATACACACAGTTTTAAAATGTAAACACATGGTAAGATTTATGGTGCTGGTCAGTATTGCTATATGCTGGTGTTTGTTCATGAGGCGTGTATCCAAAACCTTCAAACTGGTCATACAATAGCCTTCAGTTCGTTAACACAATGTTCTTACGTGTAATATGACCCTATAAATACCCTCTCTGATACGGCTCAATTTTACAGACAGATATTCTAAAGATATTTTACTGTAAAGGGTGTTATTGGGTGTATAACAACTCAATGTGTTACTGTATATACTCAGTCGAATGTTCTAATCGTTATGTAATAACATCTATTTTGAAAAAGCAAATCAAGATATTGACCCAACTTTTAACCAAAATTACAGGTTCTTTTGTCATTTCAACATAACTGGTGACAATTTCATTGAAACTACACACTAGCATTTTAAACGTGTGATATCAGCATAAAAATAGGACATCATTTAGAAAATTTACTCTTTGTTTGTAAGTGTCAACTAACATAATCAAATCAGGCATAGCAAAATACAGTTTGTTTTCTGTTGTTGTTGTAGTACGGACTTTGATTATTTAAAGTCCATGGTTATACCATACCATTTATTTTGTGCCTACCTAAACTTTCTTGCCCTGTTAGAAATTCAAAGGGCAGTACGAGATAACCAGTGTTTCGGGACAATGTTTAAACATGAATTAAACTGTACTGGAAACACATTTATCATGTCACAGCTGTAGGTTTGTTAAAACTTACCAGATTGATATGTTTTACATTTAACACTCTTGGTTAGTTTAGTAGCAATAATTTGAATTTTTCACTAACTACTGGTTTTGACGCTAAATAACTTTTAATAAACCAGGGCCTGATTGATCACCATTTTTAAGTAAGGATTCACAGCCATAATCACCCTCCTACCATACAGATTGTTTACCTGTCTACCTGATTGATTACAAATATGAAACGATAAACAATTTTTTTGTTTACTATAGATATAAGGACCTGGAGATCATTTTATTTGAAGTTTTTGTGCTGATAATCAATCTGTACAGCATCATGTTCAATTACTTATATAGGGAAGATGGCAGAAAAATTTTTGCAGAATCAATATTACAAATACTAGTGAATGCTATTGATGACATTTTCCACTGTAAATCCCACTTCTCAATACAGGGCAATATCTTGAGAGATATGTATCAAATTGTGCAGCTCAAAAACGACCAGGTTTTTTGTACATACATAACATACAAAAAAGTTCATCCTGTAATAAGGCTTGGAGGCCAACAATGCCATATTACCTCTGACACGGGATAATGAAACATACACTACTGACCAGGTTGGGTGGGCTTATTACCAGGCGTGGATTTAAAGCTGGATATTATGGTTAAAACAGAAAGGTGAATATCTCTATTGATGTATAAATGCAATTTTAAAAGATCAACTATGAATATACTGCTACAAAACGCATCCAAATTGTTAAAAAAAAAATCTGTTGTAAGAATCATAACAAAGTAAATACATTTTGCTTCAAAACATGTTTAGTTTTTCACATTCATACATGTCAAGGTATTTAGTAATTAAATTACCAGGGTATATAAAATGGAGATTTTGATCAATGCATTTTGAACATCTATACTTAATTATAAAGTCATATTACATGTAAATCTATGGGTTGAGTTCCAATGTACGTAATCCAAAAATTATGAAAAGGATCACACACATGAAATGGATGAAAAACAATATTGTTCAAACTCCTTGTTTTCAAGGTCTTTGATAGACCTCCACCAAAGGAGTATTATTTATTATGATAAAATCTGCATATTAGAACATGTCTCTTTAGAGTTTACAGAGGATCATATGTAACTAATCATACACTATAGCCAGCTGGGTTTTAACTATACAGGTAATGGACATTGTGGCCCATTGTACCCCTGTAGGAACCAACAAAGCCAAGCATAACCTATACGGAATCTACACACAGCACCACGTCAGCCATACATGGATATACTGTGTACACCATGTATATATACACTAGCAATGTATACACACAGGGCCTTTTTAATTATGTCTTGCTTGTAGTTCATTACTGAGGAATGGGTATAGGCCAAATAAACTTGTAACGCAAACAATATACGCAGTACAATGCCAAGTCCTGGGTCACTGCTCGTAAGACTTGGCATGTTATGAGTTTTGTTTATAGATGATCGATACAGTATATATACTCGTATACACTCAGTATAAGAATGCCCTGGTGTGCTTTTTAAAACTAGCAGAAATGAAGTTTGCCTGCTTATAAACAATATCTGTTTCTTGGGATATTTTCTTTCATGCTCAAGTTCAATCTGTTTACAATTAATCATATAATAGATTCAACTTTTAAAAAACACACACATTATATATGTTTTCAGTGTAATTTAAGCAAAATATATTGACGTTCCAAATGTTTTAAACATTAAGGAATTAAACTTCAACATATATTTGTAGATTTTTTTTTCAGTGGTTTAGCAACTCAGGTACCTAGGAGTACCCATCGACAGAATTTAATTAGATATGTTCAATACATAAATTTATACTTATACAAAAAATGTAGAAAGTATTCAAACTCCAGAAATATTCTGGTTGTAAACATTATGTATAACTTGCTTAGTTTTTGATATCCTTTCTTTTTAATTTCTTATAAAGTACGTACACAGTAAATTGATCAAACAGAAATTGAAATTTCACACAAACCAAAAAGATTTGGTCCAATTACTTTTCCCCTTTTTTTCCTTATAAATCTTCAGAAATATTTGTACGATAACAAAATCCAACTCTACCATAAGTATTGTTGTGGGTTTTATATTTCAACTATTTTCTTATCAATTGTGTTTTATTTCGCAAAGTGAAATACATAGATTTCACCTCAGTTTAAAACTGGTTCTGACAAATACCTTTAATCATACATTGCATATATACAAGTCAATAGATCTAGATTTTTACCATAGATGTAAAACATCATTCAATTCTTTCGAGTGCAATAGTCTACAGGGAACACATTTACATCAATAGGAGCAGGCTTAAGATACGTGGTACTAAAATATTTTCCTTGATAAATCTAAAGTGGCGAATATTGCACACTGGCATGGGTTACTCTTGGCAACTATTACAAACGGAAAAGGGTAGTATTCCCCAAGTGGTATGCCTAGTTGTATACTGAAAACATGGGAAAATTTCCATCAAATAGGGAAAAAAATCCCCAAAACAGAGCTATTTGGAGTATTTTTACTTAGCATGTTTTCAAATCATCCTACAAAGGAAATTCAAAATCAGTCTAACATTAACATTGTCATAATTCATTCAAGTAATCTGCATGTATGTTACACACCTTTTACTATGTCCATATTATAAATTGTGACCAAAGGGCAGTCCAAAATTATTCTTCCATTTCTCAAAAATAAAATAAACCAAAAATTTCCCTTCTTCCAAGATTCCCCAAATTCTATATTAATCCATAAGTGTGTGGAAACAAGAAATAAGAGCACAAGGGGCTAGCGTTTGGGATTTTTAGTAATGTATGACATCAGTAAATAACCACAACTATCACTCTTAATCCAGTATTAGTTAAATGAACAGCCCTTGGTGTCTGGTTACATCCAAGAACTCCACGTAGACAGATGTGTTTTCTCCATCATGCCTCGATTGGTCAGGATGTGAAATCTACAATATCATGATGTTTCACCTTGTTTTAAATTTTCAAAAATGGTTGCCACGGAGGTAACAAATATTTCAAAACATGAAAGACTTTGAAAAATTTGGGTTTCAATCACGGGTACTTTCGGACTCAATTTCTGTAGCATTTAAAATAACAAACCACATAATAGCGTTATATTGTGTGGTTTGTTATTTTCAAATGCTATTGAAATTGAGTCCAGAAGTACCTGTGATTTGACATTCATCAGTTCCCTCCGTCTCACCTTCTTGAAACTTTATAGAATTATTATATATTGCAGCAAAGACAATCACGTGGTCTTTTTAGAGAGTGACAGCAGACACCTATCCTCCTTTCCGTAAAATATCTCCCGTCGCGGTCTACTTCCGGTTGGAGATGTTGAAATGACCCTTGTCAACAAAACGCTTTAAGTATTAATGTTGATTAATTTTCCGGCTACCTACACCTCTTTTTAGGTCTCTGTATTTTCTTCTTTATTGCTCAAAATTTATTTATCTAATGTTCCCGACAAATTTAATTCTATTATCATGACACGTATATTCTTATCTTTTCGTTCAACTTTTTCTGACACGAAGTGCAAACTGAGAGAAAACATTTAATAATACATATCTGTTATGTATAGGTGACAGCTATTATGAAAATGCAGGAAAGATGCGTTTAGGAAATTTTTTATTAGAATGTTCACAGATTCTGAAAAATGGGGAGAATGTAGCATTATCTTAAATAAACCATCTTTTTCCAAATCAGTGACACCATTGATATTAATTCAGTACACTTAATATCACAACGACGTAGCACCTGATAGAAATGGCGTCAACCATATCCGAGTTGACAGAATACACCTGTTGCCGGGGTGTAAAGAGGGGCTCCAAAGTATCCGGCAGGTCACTAAGAAAATCCACCTCATGGTTCCCCTGTCTCACAGCAGAATACACCAACTGTATGTCACTCATCACGTGCACTCAGTTAGCCCTCACAAAGAGACGCGCGAGAGAGGTAAAATACATCCACGGGAACGAAATTCCCGGTAATATCACCTTCCGTATAATTCACACAAATTAATATCGCTTAATATCACATTATTTTTTTACACTATATATTTGTCCGTGAAATTTTTTCCCGTAATTAATATGATAACAATTTTCCTGATATGTTCACAAAGGTACAGGTTCCTGAATTTCCAAAAGAACGGATGTTGATATCCATTGATCAGCATTACAACATCCCGAATTTATGGCTTGAACGCACTAACATCTACTAACATTCCAGTTTCAATGCAGGTGTGCGGATTAACCTCGGTTTCGTAGTCATTTTAAACAAGTGCTATCAAGATTTATTGGCACAAATGTTTATTTTCTACTATGAATTCTGTTTTAATTACACACAGCGATTGTATACACTTCGATAACTAATCGTTAAGGTATCAGAAACTATTCGCAAGGACCAAAGGGCTCCACACGGAAACTCTTTCATAAAACTAATCCTCATGTATCTTATTCAAGAAATTTGAATACGATAAAAACAAATTTTCAAATTAGTGACAAATCAAAGTGTTTTGGTTTTAAATATAACCATCCCTGCTTGTCTAACCTACCGGTAAAACTTTGTCTTGAATTTCTCCTCCCTTGTGGGCCCCAACCACCCGCTTTAAATGAAACCCACCCACCCCATTAGAAATACATAAACTGTTTCTCTACTCTTTGCTGAAATATAACATGGAAAAACGATTTTTTTCATATGACACTTTTGTTTATGAATTCAATACACAATTCCAAATGTGTTCATAATTTGCGTGTCAAATATCTCTACATGACAACGACCACCTGTCCTGAAGTGTATCTGATGAGGCATATGAAGGTGAGAAGATACCTGGACTAGAATTCGATACAATTTTAATCGGATTACATTATGAGGTGTTACATACTACCCTCGTCCTTTATATCGATGTAGGTAAACATTGACCAATGATCAATACAGGTTACACATATACAAGCGCACCCACAAGTGTAAATGAAACAATATTACAACTGAACCTCGCGTGTCTACAGTTCATTGATGGTTGAACGACATTTCCAACCAATCAACAACGACAAAAGCGGTAACAAGTGTTATGTTATTGATGTTTTATTTCATTATATAAAATACATTTCATTGGTCAACTAAAGAGGCTGACCTTTACCTTTGTATTTTAATAACGTCTAGTCGCCATTGAACTTATCTAAAGTGACTGGTCAGGATTCTTCTTTGAAAAGATTAGAAAGTGATGAGATTTATAATGGTTTGGATAAAGTGTTGAACTATAAGCTGATTGTAAGATGATATAATTTCAGCGGTTGTACTTACTGCTATGCTGATTAATTGCTAAAACGGACGATAAGTCTGTTAAATACCAGGAGTGAAGTAACCGATATTCAGAATACACGCGAAGAACTGTTACTAGAAAAGATTGAATGTTTGAGGACAGGATTTTGTTCTGTTTTTTTTATTATTATTTATTTAATTTTTTCTTGGAACATTGGAACAAAACCAGCACCATAAGCAACACGGTCAACTCCCTGTCATTGTTGCGCGAATATAGAATATCTAAACCACTCATCTATGTGGAATAACCACGAAATACTGTACTACGTTGGACAACAATGAACATTCTGATGTTTTGTCCGCCGTTGTAATATTATGGATGGTAGTATAAAATATCTGTGAATCGGCTTCAGTTGGAATATTATCATTGCTTTATTTACAGAAAAGTCATAAAAACAAACACGAAGAACCACACGCTATCCCTCATTCTCCGTGTGTTCATGTTTAACCCCCAAGAGACGATGACGTACATCGCCTTGAATTTCATATAATTGAGACTGCGGGATATATTGTTTGATTGGTGATAGAATCAAACAATGTTGGAGATGGGACAAAGAATAATATTGCATTGTTTACCATGCGGACGTTAATCCTGTATCACTTATCACATGGACAACAAAATATGTCGAGTCTGTTCCCAAAAAGTATGATCAGTTCCACATTTTGTAAACAAAATATACGGATAGTTCTATTCACTGGTTTTATAACTGACAACCATTTTTCAATTAAAACCATTGACAATCTTTTTTACACTATGGCTACCAAACATGTTTTTTTCCTTTTCAAAACGATTTTAAAACATCTTTCCAAAGTGGCGTATCTATTTTTTACCACAAATCTGTCATTTGATGTCTTGTGACATAATATGTGAATGTTTCGTCTATCTGAATGAGATGGATAACGATTACTTGTATATGTTTGTATAGGGTATAGGAATTATGCGACTGTTGTTCCAAATATCTACTCCATTACGTTCTTTAAACTTTAAACTTACTTTAATAAAATTGCATTTGCGTGGATATCAAATTATGCCTAATAGTATCCATTGCATGGTTCCATAGCTGTATACATAGAAGTACAAAAATACCACAAATGAAATTCACTTTTGTTAACAACATGTACTGAAAAAGGCAAACGGCCACACGTGTTTGAGTGTATTTCCCTGGATTTTGAGATATGTATATCAAGACTGAAAATCTTGGATGTCGAGAAGCTTTCAGGAGCAAAGGTTTGGGGATCATTTATTAGATATGATGAGGATTTGAATAAATTTAATGTTGTATTGCTTAACCAAAGCATAGCTTTTCAACCTTTTGCAAATACATACCACTTCCCTTTGACATCGAATTTGGGTTTAAAATTTATTCCGATAGGTGGCGCTGGAGTTGCCCCTGGTGTGTTTCTTGGAGTCGGCGATGGGGTCGGACCAAGAGAAAAGTTGGGTGTGTTGTAACCAGATCGAAACTCTGACAGCGGACGATCGGATACGGAATCAATGGAAAGCCGAGATACCCGAGATGGAGAATGATCTCGCCTCACTTCCGGTTCCACTTTATCTATATTGGAAAGATTGATTTTAGTGATATTTGCCGAGTTTATCTCGTCAATGATATACAAATCTTCTGGTTGTTGTCCATCCACATTGCCATTTCTCATCACAGTATGGGGACGTGGCGTGACGGAACTACTTCCTTCATTAAACGATCTGGTTTTTCTGGCATTTTTCCTTGGCGAGTAATGTCCAGGAGTAAGCTGAGGATTATTTATGACTGTTGTGTTTCGTCTGGACACTGGAATCCTTGTTCCACGGGATTCTCTTCCAGTTTCTTGACGTTCGCCATCCATGATTTGCAAAGCTACATTCACATATTTACAAAAATAAATCCGAATTTAGAATAGTAGAATTGGAATATATTCCATTTACTGGCACATATCCATGTCGGTCAAGTGGCCTGGCGACTGACAAGTATAAGTGAACGTACGTGTAGTTCCTTCATGCACTAGTATCGTTTAATCGTCAACTTACAATCATGTCTTGTCCTTCATAACATCAAGGTTGGTATATCAGCTTGGACAGTCTTCATAATTATCATTATTCAAAGAAAAATAATGACACAGGTTTAGGACACAATCCTTCTCTTGAACTAATCATTGCATACAATGAATGCTAAATAAGATAAGCGAATTCTCCATCAACATGAAACCAGGACACAGATGAAACGTGGAATCTTAGTAGAATTTCGCCCACAGTTTCTCCCAAGAAGACATATGTAGCACTGATTTGTTCTTACTAACTAACTACAACTAACGCTCTATTTGAAATAACCACAAAAACAGGATTGTAGCTCTATAGCGGATTAGCGTAAACCAGAGAATTGTGTACGATTAAATATATACCCAAAGCACCTTCGGTTTTTAACTTATAGGATAAGGAGGTATTGGAATGTATAGGAAAGGATTATACTGTAATTATGAATATATAAACCAACAGAAAACGAATACATAGGGATTAGAACCTTCAATTAAACGCACCGGAAGTGGATATATTTGTACCTAATATGGAATCGTATTTTTATAAGTGGTAGTTTCGTATCACAAATTAATTCATTCCTTATCTCATACTCATGATATTATATCTTATTCTATGCGAACTCGGGTCGGTAGAAATCGAAACTCACTCGACCATACACAGGCGACAAGAAAGTGGTTATTTTTACGATGCTATTTTCAGACATCTCGGTCTTTCCCATTTTTTTTTCTCTGGGTTATGGAAACGCAAATCTTCTATCAAGAAGTGGAACCTTGTCTGCGGCTATACACTTGTGACAAAGGCCAATTCTCCCTGCCCGCTTTATACGGTCTCGCAACACCTCAGACAATGAAATGACGGGACAAACAGAGGCGAGAGATATTGAGATGCCTTGTTGAAGGCGTTGTATGTAGGGTATGTGATGAATTCAGAATTTCCCGTTGTCCCGAATCAGGAGAGCCCAACGGAGAGCAAATTAAAGCTATTTTTGAAGCGTCGTTACCAATATTTTATTTTTGCTTTGTTTTTTCACGTGCGGTTATAATGAAATGGACTTTGAAGCACTCAGTTTATTGCATTCATTATCATAGACGTTTAAAGATATTTAACCCAAAACACGAAATCGTTACAGCCAGTCCACCAGAAAATGGGTTCATTTAAAAGGATAATTTAAATTTAAATTTTATGTATGAGTTTCCGGATATCTAACGCCGTAACTTCTTTAACATTGTTAAAGATTTCGTTATAACTTCCGGAAATATCTCTTTGACATAAATTTAATCTAAACTGTCAGGCAACTTAATGTCAAATCTAATTATATGATAATAAGATTCGCGGAAGGTTTTGCTTTATTCAGAGAGATACATAAATTTATCACATCATTGTTGTTTATACCACACGCAAAGTTTAAGCACAAACAAATAAATTACCACGGGTTCTTATTAGCCTTTTTCTGATAAGCTAATCTTTATATGGATTTTAAAATAAAGCATTAAGGGTCTTTTGACGACATCCATTGACACGTCAACATAACACAATGGCATGAACAAACATTAACACAAATAAATGTGAAATATTGAAGGTGCTATCGTGTATGACAGTATCAACTGTGGTTACACCGAATGCATAGGATTAATGAGATCCTATCAAACAGTAAACAAAACAACTACGACCAAACACTTGATAATAATGTCTTCAGTAACCGTTCGGAAGCATTTCACATTTGTATGATGGCAGGTAAGAGTTTGAACCTATAGTTATCGAAGAAATAAACGAACGAACGAACGGACGGACGGACGAACTAACAAACAAACACAAAAATAAGAGAAGAAAGAAAGAAGCAGGTGCTTCCTTATAATTATTTTGTAAACATCGAGTCGGTTTACCGATTTTCGTTGTACTTTTCATGTATGTATTTTATTCATATTTTGCCCCTGCTTTTATTGAATTGATGTATGTATTATAATTCGGTTGACATGTTGGTATTTTCTTGTTGTTGATGTTATTGTTGTTGGTTTTAGATGACATGACTCGCATATTTCTTGTTCGCGGTTGTACAAACATCTTTTTCTATAATTCTATTATTCCTGTATACAGACACCTGTAAAATGTTTGTAGCAGTGCAAGTCTAGTACTCAAATTAACAACTCTGTAGTTCGAAGTGTAACTTCGTTTAAGAAGAGGGATGTCATTGGCCGTTGTACAAATTTCTACATACTGTAAGTAACTTAGATTTTGCGAATACTTAATTTCGCGAACTGTAATATAGAAATGACTTTAAAATCGCGAATGGTGGGCTTTTAGATATATGGACTCTGATATCAGTGACTTTATCAAAAGAGATGTCTTCATGTGTTAGTTTCGTACAAATGTTTGCGAGGGATTTGAATTCGCGATTGACTCTCCTCGCGTATTAACGCGAAAATAAATCCAACGCGAAATAGAAATGATTTACAGTAGTGAACGCACGAATTGCTCAGACTGATACCCTTTTAGATTGTTTTCTTTGCATGAAAAAAAATCTAAATAACATTATGATATTCATATTAGATCATTAAAATGAGACGTCCTCACTGACTTTATCCCTGAACATATTGGTAATCTCACTAGGTATCACTTACGAAATGCAGATCAGTTACGACAACCAACTTATCGTCTTCAATCTATGTGTAACTCTTTTTTTCCTTCTACAACTGAACTCTGGAATAGATTAGATGAATCTTTAAAAACGGCTGGTTCACTAAAATTGTTTAAAACCAAACTACGTCCAAAAAACTCCAACAAGCTTAAATCGTGTTTCCTATCATATGGCCCCCGTCAACTGAATATTCTTCATTGTCGTTTAAGAAATAGGGCAAGCTCACTCACTATGACCTATTCAGAGCCAATCTCATGAACTCAGCATCTTGCTCCTGCGGACATCCCTCTGAAGATTCCTTTCATTATTTAATTCATTGTTCGAACTACATTCAAATTCGTAACACCCTGTTCACCGAACTGTCGTGGTATCAGGGTGATATCTCGATAGATGTACTTTTAAATGGAGACGTACGACTAAGTTCAGCTGAAAACTCACTTTTAGCTAGAGCTGTTCAAAAATTTATTGATGCCTCTGGGCGATTTGGCTAGTTTCTGCATTTCTTCCTTTGTACTATATATTCCCTTTTTCCTTCCTCACCTATCCTCCTTTCTTCTTTACATCCTTCTTTTTTTTTGTTTCAATGAAAAATATTATGATTCAATATATTGTTACATTGCTTGTAGTTAAGTATTGTTTTACCATCCATGTAATGGAGAGGGCTTAATAAGTTGGAAAAACTTGTGCCCAATCCAATTGTACAAAGTTTTGCAATAAAATAATTATTAAATCAAGTAGTTGTGTGTGAGAATATGGACACATTTGATTGTAAATGAAACTTAAAGAATGGATATTCAGTTAAAGTAGGTTTAAATCAACTTTGGGGTAGACATTTAAATATACAGTGTTTTTAAGGGTTCGACTGTAAAGAAACATTATACGAAACATCTTGACTTAAGTCTTATGGCATTTGAAAATCCTCAGAAAAAAATCATTTTCAAAGACATATCATCGATTTATTCATTTTCATACAATTGATTACTAATTTACATTTTGGGCGCGATTGATCAATTTCACGCGAATGTACATTATGCCGAAATTATTTTAGTTTAAGATAAATACCAAAATATACTCTGTGTCGCAAAATGTGAAAAGATGTACATGTTTTTACAAACATACGATGTCGCAACTTTGAAGTACACATTTCCGGATATTTCTCAACGCCGTTTTTCAAATTAATTTGAGATACATATTTGTTAGTAAGTTGAAAAAACGGAAATTACATAAACACTTTGATTGTTGTTGTTGTTGTTTTTGCTGATGTTGTTGTTGCGGATGTTGTTTGTTGTTGTTTTTTTGTTTTTGTTAATTTTCGTTTGTTTTCTTTCCCCTAAATCTCTAGTTAATCGAAAAATATGGCTGAAAAAGAAGTACACATTTTTTTATCAGTCATCATCTCACAAGAATAACTTTTATCATACAAGCCCTTCAAGGGCCCCAACTAGCTCAGGGTGCACGTGGCGTGCCAGTCCACTATCATGTATGGAAACTTCGGTACCACTCACTATAGTTTTGTCAGCTACGTCCAATACTGAAGATCTTGGACTCCTTTATAAGACAACAGGTTGTGTTTCTTTTGTGTAGTAAACACGTATAAATAAGCTTTGTTTCCGGCGACAACTAGTCTATTTATATACCAAAGTGACATGTCTCTCAACGTGTTAAAATAAATGACGTTTAAATCCCAGTTTAGTAATTAGTAATGTTCGTAAAGACAAGATCAAATCTTACGATTAATCATTCAACGTGTCAAAAACTATGTCTCCCAATAAAAAATGGACTGTTTCTGTCTACAATGAATTTTATTAAATCAACATCATGGTAAACGATTTTTAAATGATATTCTTAATATTGCATATATACAATGTATAAGTATCTAAATATCAAGTGTCTAACCTTATTAATAATGACAATTAAAATTTCGCTGAAATATGCACATAATTAATTATTATAAACAGGAAATACTTATCTGTTAATCAACGATGTGAATATGTAATTTGTTTGCGTCATATACATGCATGATAATGCATGCGCACAAAACACCGTCGACTGAGAACAAAATGGCTTCCCGAATTGGTTGGCGGTTAATGGTGTATTTCATAATACTGAATTGATTTAGAATTTTCAAATAACAATTGCCTCATCCATGATAAAAGATTCTGGTGAAAATGGTATTTT